GGGAAGCGTCTGGGAGAGTCCCGCTGCTTGCCCAGGCTCCAGCCTGGGTGCCACGCGCGGGTGTTGGCCGGCCCTGGTGAAGGGAAGTGCTCCTGGCTGGCCTAGACACGCCGCTGAGCTCGCGGTGAGAGCAGGTGCCCCTCACCTCTCCGTGACGTCAGTAAACGTCATGTCCAGGGCATGCACGCTCCGGAAGAGGTCGTCCTGGGAAACGGCGTCCCCGTCTGCAGGCAGCTGCGCAACCGGCGTGCAGAAAGCCATGAAGGCTGAAGCGCAGGGGGAGGCTGGCCTGTGCAGGGCCACGAAGCGCCCTCTCACAGCCACAGCCCGATTCCCCCCGTGCTGCAGCCGGAAGGCTTTGGATGTGCGCATCTTGCTGACGAACGTGACTTCTGCCGGGAAACGAAAGAGCCAGAGCAGATCAGGGGCTCTCCAAGGGGCCTGGCTCCTCCTCTGGCCAGCTAGCCCCAGCAGATCCCTGATCAGAGCCCGGAGAGCTCCCTGAGCACTCTCCTCGTCTCCTCAGTCTTACCGGTTCCTGGCTGCTCCTGGGCGAGGAGGAGCTTCTCCTGCACAGCCTCCTGCACTGGCCCATCCAGGATGTCAAAGACCGTGTCCCCCTGGGCAAGGAGCTCCACCTGATGAAGAGCATGCCGTTCGCGTGGACCTTGCCTACCCCTGGGTGGGCTGTGTGCCAGCACGCCGCGAGCTCGCAGCCCACCGAAGCAGCAGGAGAAGGACTTGTGGGGCTGCTTGCTGTTTGTAACAGGCTTGTAATAAAGGCACGGGGACAGGCACAAGGACACAGTGACTGCAGATCTGGATTACCGTGGAGAGGCCCAGGACCTGAGCCACGTTCTCGGAGATGTAGGCCAGCTTGCCGTTGGCCAAGAGCACAAGGAAGAACCCCGGCAGAAGGGAAAGCAGCTCCATGCCGAAGGCCGGTGCCGCAGGAGGAGCTGAGTCTGTGGGAGAAGCACAGCGGGAAGCACTCACTCGAACGGGGGCAGGAGCAGCGCCCCGCACGGAGATGAGCTGGTGCGGCAGTGGGGAACGTGCGGTTACCTGGCGGGAAGAGATGAGCCCTGCGGAGCCAGAGGCATACCAGGGCCATAGTGTTGAGGTAGGAGAGCCGCTCCTTCTCCTGGGAGGAGATGGGCAGCAGGGAGCGCAGTGCCTGCAGCTCCGCGTTGATCTGGTCCCTGCGAGCCTTGGAGGCACCCTTGGTCGACCTGCAAAGCCAGTTGTCTGGGGAGACGTGCCCAGGGAGGGAGGGAGAGGCAGCATCCCTCGTTGCCCTGCTGCCGGGAGAGCTGCAAGCTCTGGGACGCTGGGCTGAGATGCCAGGCCCTTGAGGGGCCAGCTGCCCCCAGGAAAGCAAACCCCTGGGGCCTGTTTTGGAGAACCGTGCCTGGACGCTGGTGCGTGTGGGGGCCTGGCTGGCACCCAGGGACACGTTGCTGACATGTCTGGTGCCCCCTCTCGCTGTAGAGGCCAGATGGGACAAAACCTGTGCCTTGGGGATACCCCGAGTAACATGACCAAACCCCACGAGGGCGGACGCCGCATCCGGTGCCAGAACGCGAGACCCAGCCCGTTCGGTCTGTGTGTCGGACTTGCCTCTGTCTTCGCTCAGCCCCCTGAAACCCTGCCCTCTCCAAGCTCCTTTGCCTCCTCCCCACGTGGCAGCCAGCAGCCCCCGGTGTCCTGAGCTGGCAGTTGCCCCTTGCAAGGGCCACCAGGTACCACTCAGAGTGGCCCAGGGCTCTCCCTTGCTAGGAGGCGCTCGCCGCCCCACGAGCGAGAGGCGGGAGGAAGCTCACCTGAACGGCTTTGAGGCGCTTGGCGCCTGCCTGGCCCTCCTGGGCAGGCAGCTCGTCTCTGCCTGCAGCGGCCTGGGGCGCAGGGGCCAAGCCTGGCCGCCCGAGGATGGCCACCTCTTGTGACGCAACTCCAAACAGCTCGGGGCTATTTTTAGAAGGCAGGCTGCTAAAAATATCCCTCCCAGCCGGCTGCAATCTGAGAGGGGAAGCAATAAAAGGAAGCCAGGGTCTTTAAAGCAAACCTGGCAGCTCAGGAGGGGGTGATGATGAGGGCAGCAGGGACCCTGCCACGGGGCATGCGTCTGGCCAGCTCCTGGCCCCCAGCCCAGGATGAGGTCCACAAGGGGCCAGAGGCCCGTGGCTTAGGAGGGCCCCGGTGCCCCCGAGCCGTTAGGTGAGCGGGATGCCCGTGCCCCTCTCTCCAACAAGCCCCTATGCCTCCTCTTCTCCCCAGGGGGCTGGTGACAGCTGGGCAGGCACAAAGCCGGGAGCGCCTGTGCTCAGCACCGCACTGCCCAGCGCAGCGAGCCTGGGTGACTAGGCAGCGTTTCTGGGCACAGGTTACCCCGGCATCCAACAGAGAGAGTAAACTTGGCACCCTCGGCGCTGGGGAAGGGGAGGCTGAGGCAGACAGCTTCAGCAGCTCATTGCATGGCTTGGGGCCAGTGCCTGCAGCTGGCTGAGCAGAAAGAGCAGAAACCACCTGCCTGCTGCCCTCGCGGGTAACCTGTGGGTGCCAAGGGCTGCAAGGGGGGAGGTCAGGCTGGGATCTCCCCACGGGCAGCTGGTCCGTCAGCGCCCCTCAACTCCCTTCAGGCCTTCAGCCTGCGCTGACGCACGTCGCTGGCCGTGGCCTACAACAAGGTGCTGCTGGCACATGAACCATCTGCTGTAGCCTCCGAAGTCAAGCTCTTGCCCTGGGGTTTTCGCAGCCCTCATCCTGCTTCAGGCTGCTCTGTTGCACCCAGATCAGCCACAACGCACCGGCTGAGGGGCCTGTCTGCCCCTGCTGCCTTTGCGACTCCACGCCGCTGGATGAGCCCAGCAGGGCTGGGCCCCAGCTGGGTGCTGGTCTTCAGAGCAGGGGAGATGGCCTGGGCCCTTGGCCGCGCGCTCCCAGCACGCGTCCGCTGCCATCTCTCGACTACCCCCGTGACTTCAGCATCCAGCAAACACCCTGGATGCTTCACTAGCTTTCCCTGTGTTGGCTCTACTTGCGTTGCCACCAGAGCTCCTCTTCACATCAGGCACCTCACCTCTGTGGGACGGGGCCCAGATTCAGCTCGGGAACGTGCTGCCCAGCAGGGCTGCTGCAGATGAGCCACCACCTCCCTCCCTGCAGGGAGCCGCAGGTCACGAGTGCCGT